GCAGAAGAGAGGCAGATGGCAACCAGAGACAGGGCCTTTTCAGTGGTGGCATCTCATCTTTGGAATGCCTCCCCCTTGAGGCTCTCTGGGTGTCTATTTTACTGTCTTTTAGGTGCCAGGCCAAGGAAAGGCAGCATAGGGACATAGATATTTTCCAAACTACCCTGCCTCATAGGTTGTTGTGACAAGGAGTAGTGTGCATATGAGGGGAGATGAAGAAAAGCCCTTATACTACCCTGAGCTCTTGGAATTAAGACAGTGCGGTGTTAAAGCCAGCACCTCCAGCTGGAGCTTTTCCAGTTTCCAGGTAAGAATCCTTGGTAGCTTGCGCCTTTGCTAGAATTCTTACAGTTCAGAGAACTTCCTAATCCATCATCAAGACCACCTCTGTCATGTCTAATTCATTGCCTTCCCCAAAAGACATTCTCAATCACAATAAAGCCATCATTTTTTTCTTGCTCTGTCTCCAGAACAGACAGTGCTTAACCTTCCTAGCTTGGGGGGAGGAGTCACCACTGGCAACTCCCCCTTTCTTTAGCTTTCCCTCCAGAGGCATTGTCTCCCCAAGAGCTGAGAGTATTGAAAGCCCATCATTAAATAAAGGTTACTCTTTAAGGTGCCACTGGACTTTGGTTTTATTTTGCTATGACAGACTAATATGACTATGCCTTTGCAATCATTGTTCTAAACCAGGTACTTCCAACAGGTAACTCATGAGCTATCAGAAGCTCATCAACTGCTGTACAGTATCTCGTGCATCCCCTAGAACAGTGGTGGCGAACCTATGGCACTCAGAGCCCTCTCTGCGGGCACGCGTGCCATCGCCCCAGCCATCATTGAAGTGCCGAATTCTCTGCCAAATAATGTTAAGTAAATGAAAGCATTTGGGATTGCTTTCCTTACTTTGTTTGCATCATCTTAAGTTAATGTATGGGTTGTTTTTTCTAAAGTAAAACCTCAGTATTCAGGTTAAATTGCCGTGTTGGCACTTTGCGATAAATAAGTGGGTTTTGGGTCGCAGTTTGGGCACTCGGTCTCTAAAAGGTTCGCCATCACTGCCCTAGAAGACCCAGGAAAAGCCTGAGAAAGATCTGCTTTAGTCTCTGTTCTGGTTTTTTAAAGTCTTATTTCATCATATTTTCCCTCTGTGTTGCTTAACTGATAGCTTCATTTTAGGTGCACTTCCTAGCCCATGTTCTTTTTTACAGGACAATGTACTGGGCGAGTACCTCAGAGTTTTTTTCATCACTCAGAATTAGCTCTCATTAAAGCAAAGGTTGGGGTCCTCCTGTCTGTGCCTTTTATTGTCTTAAAGAGACTGACAGCTACAATGTGCTAGTCTCTTCCTTGAACTGTGGGTCCAGAACCACAGAAGAAGAAAAAACAACCAACACAAAAACAACCAACACAGAAAACTACAATTAGTACTTCAATGTGCACAATAGGTAGGGCATTCTAGCACACTCTAGCAAACACAGCTGGTGCTCAAAAGGGATTTCAAAACCCACCCAGGGACCTTCAGTAAGCTGACTGCAGATTCTCCAGCTCTCAAAAGGTGACTCTTGAAGTGCCAGCAAGCATCACCTCATGTCTACTTTTAGAAGATGAACAATTTCTTCTAATGTTGGAAAAGCTACTCCAGCTCAGAATGCACTGGGCTGCCAAGCTTGGATTGCACACCCACAAAGCTTCCTGGCTCCCCCTCCTCATTTTTTGCTTTATGAATAAAAGCAAGCCTTTATTTTCAGAAACCACACTGAACTGGACTTCAGTTGAATGGCTACCAGAGTTTGGAAAACTGATGTACTACTTTTCAAACATGGGCCACCAATGATCATTTTGTTGCACTCTTAATAATTAAAAACGGAAAGCTGATTTTTAGTGACATACTGATTTTCAGAGTCCCACAGCAATTAGTCTCAACAACGTTGGTTCAGAAGGATCAAGTTTATTGAAGACAGTAAAGGCAGGTCATCTGTGCATACATTCTGTGTTAGAGCTAACCTAACTGGCGGGAGAGGGGAAGATATACTGCATTCAAAGTGGGGGCCCCTGATGGACTCTCGGGTGTCAGTGGGGAAACGGGCTCATGAATAGGGATCCCGCCCAAGCCCTCTGCTCGTACCAATCGTGGCAGGGGTCTGTGCCGTTGTGGTTGGAACCTCTTCTGTGGTTGTAGTAGGAACACCCCTGCCTCCCTCGTCACCCATGCTGGGGTACAAGGTCAGGGATTAGAGTAGCTCTGACTTCCGGTATGGCGCGACAACGGGAGGGAGCGTGGGCTTGAGCTCCGCTCCCCCCGCGCCCTTTCGTTCTTATTCGGGCCCCCCAGGGATGGGGGAGCACGACCCGCAGTCTCGAGAAGAGATGCGGGAGCATGGGGCTTCTTGCTGGACCCCCCCCCGAGCTTGGCAACCGGAGGGGTGTTCCAGAATTGCCCTGAAGCAGGAACGGGAGAAGGCGAAGAACATGGCCGCCGTGTTCTTCTGAGTTGCAGCCTCCGGGACTGTTTTTAAAGTATATGTGAGTGTGGAGTGTGGAGAAGATACGTCGCATTGTTAAACTGTTTCTGCTTGTATAAGAAATACCCCTGGAAGGATTTTCACATATTTATGAAAAAAAACCGGCCGTAAGGATCTGACGTGAGGAACTGTGAGTAAGGCGAAATGTAGGGGGGAGGCGTTTTTGAGCACCAGTATTTGGACAAAAAATCTACAAATAATGTGTTTGTGAGGAGAAATGTCGAGTGGAAAGGAGGTTACGGATATGGGAGAAACTTTGGAAAGAGAGACAGAAAGAGAGACAGAAAAAGCAGCTGGGGAACTTTCCTGGGATGACTTTAAAAATTGGTTTGCGGAGGAAGTGAAGCGGTCATTTACAGAGACATGTGTGAAAGTTGTGAGAGAGGCTGTAAAGGAGATTGTGGAAGGGAAAGGAAACAAGGAAGAAGGGCAAGAAACGAGAACGCAAGAGGAAGGGTTGGAAAAGGAGAAGGAGAAGGAATCGCAGACCCCCCAGGAAGAAAGGCAGGAAGTTGACCCCGATAAGGACTTTTTGAGAAATCAAAGAACACCTAAGCTACGAGTAAAGAAAGAGAGACTGCTACCAGACTTGACGAAGGACAAAAGCAAGAAGTTTAACAGGGAAAAGAAAGTAAAGAAAGAAGTAAAGAACGTTAGAAGCATATGGCAAACATTTAATGGGATCAATGAAAGAGATAAAAGGGAATTGGAAATGGAAATAGATGAGTACAAGGATAGAAGGCACCAGGAAGAGAACAGAGAAAACCAAGTGAGAAAAGAGCTGAAATATTATGAGGACTGTGCTAGTAAAGTTATAAGATAAATTCTGTAATATGGATATACCTCTCTCCAACTAAGAAATCTAGAAGAACATTTGAAAGGAGATTGAAGAGTATGATAACTGTGATTTGACCCATTTTGATGTTTGAAAGTCTAATTGTTAGGTTTGCTCTCTAATGTTACTGATGTTATGATTATGATTGCAAGGTGAAGTCAGATACTTAGATTTATTTCTTGTTTTCTTATTATAAGTTAGGAATTGTATTCGATACCTGAAGTATTATTTTGAGTTAAGTGGTTTAATTTACTGAGCTTGTTATTATGTTACACGATTGACCATACAGATATGTTTAGAAGTAGAATAAGGGTGGTAAAATAAGGAGAGAGGTTAAACTGGGAGCTAGCTTTGGTATCTAAAGTAAATTTTGTTATTTGACTGTAAAAAGTATTTTAACAGTAGGTATTGTCAGTTGTTTAATTGTTTAAGTGTTTAAGTTTAGTTTGTATGCTATATGGTAATATATCTTTGAGATTGGAGTAGCAGGTAGCAATCATGAAATGACCTAGAGTGAGGAATAGAACTGCTTTGAAAAGTGGCTTTGTGTAGGCTTCTATAAGGATAAGATCTTCTGCTGATATATTGTAGATGGAATATAAATGAATTATATCGTTGACAAGACTAATATAATAATTATCAGGCTATATAAATCAATTTTTGTGGTGATATTTAGTTAATAGTAAGAGTTAATAAGAATGAATTGGAAGCTGATGAGTTAACCAAAGAGGTTAGTTAATTTCATACGAACTGGTGATGATTTTGTATGATGCATTAATTTTCTGAGCATTATAATAGGGAGAGTAATAATATATCTTTATATAAGCAATTTCTCTTTTGAACAATGCAATGTGCTGTGAAAATAATACGTGGTGGAATTTGCGGGTGAGGGGTGAGGGGTGTTTATATGTCTATATGTTTGTTATTATTGTATGTCAAGAGGTGTGTCTTGGTAAAGTATTGAAAACCAATAAAAATATTAAAAAAAAAAAAAGGGATTAGAGTAGCTCTAACACTCTGTCAGAGTCCCACAGCAATCACGATCAACATCACTCCTTCAGAAGGATCAAGTTTATTGAAGACAGTAAAGGCAGGTCACCTGTGCATACATTCTGTGTTAGAGCTAACCTAACTGGCGGGAGATGGGAAGATATACTGCATTCAAAGGGGGGGTCCCCTGATGATCCAATCAGAGGTGTACAGCTTGCGCGCCTAAACTAACGGGAGCAGGTTCCCAGGCAGAGCAGAGAGCCCGAAGTACCAAGGTCAGGCTGCTAGATAAGACACAGCATAAGAAGTGAAAGCTAACATTCCAGGACAGTAAGGCACTCACCCAGTGGTCTCCCCCCCCAATACCATGGCAACATAGCTGACACAGATGAATTGCAGATGTTTGCTACCACAGGCCAGATTTCTTGATGCCTGTAAATAAAACCACCTATAGAGCATACTGTGGGCAGAAACCAGGCTGCAGAACCAGTCTGTCAAACATACAACAGTCCCTTCCAATCTTCTGTCCTAATATCAGCATCTTTCCCCACTTCCGAGCTTGGACTCAGAAGATGAGAGCAGCAGACGGGGCAGAGGTGAGCCAGCAGGGAATCCTTCCCCAAGAAGGTTTCCTGTAATGTTGAGATCCTTACCTTAATTACGGAGCTCACATCTCTCTCAATCCAAGTGGGATGCCGTTTTGCCTGCAAAATGAAAAAAAAAGAGAGTAATGTAAGTAAACCACGATGACCAAACATTTTCTTCCAGCACCTACCTGAAGCAAACACAGTGTTTAGGTCCAGTATGAATACTGATAAAATTCATCACACAACTTTCATGAGCCAAAGCCCCTTTATCAGATGCACGAATGAGTACAAACAGAACAGAACGAGAGCCACAAATTAGGACTAGGGAGATCTGGGTTCAAATCCACTCAGCCATATACTCACTGATAGTGAGTTACTGATCCAAAGCCTCACAGAGCCAATCTCCTTCAGGATTTTTGTGAGGATAACACGGAGCAGGGGAGAACCACGCATGCCCCCCCCTGAACTCCTTGAGGAAGGATACAAATGTGATTAATCATGGAAGAGGGGGGGTCAAAAAATGTGAAAAGACCACTCAGGTTTGTTATGGTGAAGGTGGGGAATCAGCACCACACGAAGCTTGCCTAAACTAGGTTCAAATCCCTATGAGACCTGCCTGGATAGCCAGGCACCGCATTTCACCTTAGCCTACTCCACAGTGTTACTGGGAGGATGAAGGAGGCTCCAAACTCCTTGGAGGAAAGGAGAGGGAATAAACAAAAATAAGGCCTTGTTAGCTGAAGGACTGTCATTTACAGGTACCTCCAACTGCCACTGCACTGCATATGGAGGGCTGCGCAACTTCTAGGGGTCCTCAGAACCTGACGCTTGCCAGAGAATCCCTTAGGTTACTTTTATTCTCTCTCTACAAAAAGTTAAAAACACACTACAGTAGCAAAAGTTTTCTTTTTTTTTAAAAGGACATTCTTACATGTGGGGAACCCACAAGCACTTTCTGGGGTCACTTCAGTTTCCCCTGTAACCTCCTTCCCCACATTATTTCCTCTTTTTCTCCTCCTGGCAACCCTATGTCCTTTGAGCTGCTTCCTGCTCTCCTTCCCACTCACCAAATAATATTTTTATCATCTGCCACCTCCCCTGTCTTCAGCTTTATTTACTTCGTTTCTACCCCACCTTTCTCACCATTGGGGACCCAGAGTGGCTCACGTCTTTTCCCTCTCCTTCATTTGATGATCATAACAACTCTGTGAGATAGATTAGGAAAAGTCTGACCAAGTTGCAAACGTCATGCAGTAGCAAAGTTGGGCCCAGCCAAATTGCACAAGTTATGCTGCTGCTGGGCCCAGGAGGGTTGAGATGCATCAAGTCACTCAGTAGCCACGGCCAGTCTTGGATGAATTGCACAAATCATGTGGTAGCAAGTTGCCTGGTGATTGCTGCTGGGCGTAGCCCCAATGAATCCTCTTTTCAGGGCAGAAGGGAGGCATTAGCCAAACAGCCTTATTTTTCTAATAGAATGGGGGGATTTGAATATTAAATGGCAATGGCTTTAATCAGAGGTCATTTCGGGGGGGATCGCGGGGGATCGCAGTTCCCCTGGGAGAGGTACAGGGGGCAGGGCAGATGACGAAGCCCCGCCCCCTGCTTCCGGCCGCTCCGCTTTCGGCCCTCATTCAGCCAGGAGGAGGCAGGAGAAGAGGGAGGGTAAGTTGCTTCCTCCCTGCCTCTCCCCACCCCTGCCTGCCTGGGGCCAAGGAGGGCCTTCGCGGGGCTTCCTTGCACTCCCGCCGGCCTTGCAGGTCCACCACCGGGCCCCTCATGGGGCTCAGCAGCGGAGCTGCAAGGCCGGCGGTGGCGGCCGGGACCATTGGGGGCGGGGTGTGTGGCCTTATGACACACTTCTGGTGATGTCAGGGGGTGTGGCCTTATGACACACTTCCAGTGATGTCAGGGGGTGTGGCGTATGCTAATGAGTTATGCTAATGAGTTCCCCAGCTCTTTTTCTATGAAATGACCCCTGGCTTTAATTACAGGAACAATAACCTGTGTATACTGGAGTCCAACTTATCCAGATCCCCAGAAATGGACGCAGAGACTAGATCTTAAAAGTGATTTCTTTTACTAAATAATTCACACAAATACAATATAAAATAAAACAATCACACACTCAAATGATACAGAACTAAGAAGCTAGATAGAAAGATACAGCGACAGTTGAATTAGAAGGGAGGTATCGTTGAGGGGGGCGATACTTTACCTGTCTGACATGACAAGGCGATCCTGCAGCGAAATTGGGTAAATACTTAGGGGAAAGGGTTGTGTGTTGGCCAGCAATGCATGTGGGACTCTCCAAAAAGCACTAAGAATGGAGCCAGCAAGGTAGGGTGGGGTCAGATAGGCAGGAAGTGAGACAGAGAGCAATGGGGAGATGCTCTCTTTTCATACCCTAAAATGACAGGGAGGGGGATGCTCCACCAGTCACGTAGTCCCCAGGAAATCTGGAAAAATCCAGTTCTAATGGTTAGGAGGATGGGTATAATGGTTGAGCAATTGCAATAATATTTAACTAATGGTGACACCTTTAGAGAGACAAAAGAAAGAAAAGAGTAGTGATGTCTCAGCTCCACTGACGGTAGTTGGTCTCAACGACTTGATGATCGACAGCTGCATTATCAGGAAGGGCGGCTGGAGGACATGACCACAGCCTGATCCTATTATGGAATCAGTTCATTTGCTTAGGGTGAGGCTGAGTATGTGCTATACCTGGAGGTGTCCTTATGCAGAGGTGGGGGGGGGAGGTGCCTGCGAGCTTTCCATGGCATCTGTGAAGGATATCCAGATACCCTTTGCATAGCAAGGCTTCTCTTCTAGTGATCTCTTCTAGTGAACTGCTGCTGGTTCTGTGTGTTTGTAGGGTTAGGGAGGCTGGCTTGCCTCTTGGCATCTGGCTGCAGGGTTGCAGGAGCGAGAGGCATCAGGTCTCCCATGGGTCCACATCTGGGTAGGCATGCTGCTACAAAACAAGGTTTCCCTTGCCTGTGCACATGCCAGCATTTCAGTAGGGTGGCACAGTCTCATGGTCACCATTCAGTCCATTGCCGTGGCACACTTATTGTACAGTCCAGCTTACAGTTATAGTCCATAGCCTTATAGATGCTGCGCAAGGCTCTTACAGGGCAACAGAGGGGAGGGGAACACAAATGGACAGGGAGAACGCAATAGCCCTAGAAAGGGCCCTTCCCCTTTACCATTTACTGACAGAAACCAAGGCTTGAAGGCTGACAATAGTGCTGTAGTTGCCTAGCAACCTGAATAATGGCCATAGATATCTCAGAGGATAATGATTTCTTAAACATAGAGCCACTGCTCATATTATTTGGGGGAGTTAACCACCCAAATAATTTCTTTTTGTCTTATTTTGGATTTTACATTTTTCTGCAAACCTGGGAATTTTCTTAGAAAAATCTGTTCATGGGAGTCCCTTTTAAACCCATGCATTCTGCTGCATCCACAAACCACCACAAACTGCCATGAACTACTTTAAAAGTTCAAGGTATTTTATGGTAATTGCAAATGTGGCTCTGAACTTCTGTTCACAAAGCATGAACAGGGCAAAATTCGTGATAATTTTTGCCTTGTGGCTCGGTTTGTGCCCATCCCTAGTTGTAACAGATTTACTGCAATTTACTGCATTCCTCAGAAGCAAAAAAACCATATTCTCATAAAAGGTTCAAACTGGAATTTTCTGTACCTATTACCAACACATCCCATGCCCCCACCACTACCTTTTCCCACAGTTTCACTGTTTCCACCTTTCAGGTGGTTTTGGAAACAGGAAGTTCACTGTGGGCAGCAGATTAAGAAGTGATTGGTAGACTGACTAGAAATGGAGATGGCAAGTTATGAGCACCACTGAAGAGCAGCCAAGTTTCTACTGGATGAAACGAAGTGTGTGCCAATGCCCCTTCTTCAAGGTAGACAAGACACATGCACACTTTAAACAGGAGTCTGGCACTTTAACATCTAATAAGATTGTTATTCAAGCGAAAAAATTTGTGGGCTAGAGCCCACTTCATTAGCTCTGTACTCCCTCAATGTCATGGCCCTCTGACCCCGATGCTTATAATTTCCCATTCTTCATCTATTACAAGTGGGTTCTTGTCCACAAATGCATAAACTGGAACAAATCCTTATTAGTCTTTCAGGTGTCCTTCAACAACACGGCCTAGCCCAGGGTGGGCGTAGCAGCTGCCTACCATCTAGGAGACTCACTTCTACTTCCTTGCCCTGTAAGTTTCTCTCAAGCTGCCTGCACACACAGGAAAACCCACAAAACCTCACCGTTTTAAATATTTCTCAAGCAAATCCTAATCTTAGCCTTCGCTAAGATTACGGGAAGTGAGCAGAAGAAGAGGCCACAAAGGAGGGACTAAAAATGGATTAATTTAACCAAGCATAGACATCTTTTTCTAAAAAATATTGTTCAGCATAGCAATGATATTATCACAAGATAACGGGTGTGCACATCCAGACGAATGTCAAGAGAAGCTGGGTAATTTGGCTGCCTCTTGCTCTGGCCGAACTGACTTTCAACAATTGACACCCCCACGCCCACGCCCACACAAACACTTCTGTTTCTCCTGTACTTTGGCCACAGTGATGCTCCCAGCGACCTCACACTACTACTACCCCCATTCCCCACAAAAACAACCACCATACTTCTGTTCCCCTGACAAGATTGATAAACACCCTCTGACTGGAAACTAGCATTTGACTTCCATTGGGCAAAAGTTCAAAGGGTGTCATTTTTCCTCATAACTCTGGGAAGTTATGAGGAAGCATGTCTATCACGACCACAAAGAGTGACTCCATCACTTCTCCCAGGGCTAGCCGCCCTACCTCAACCACAGCTTGAGACTGCCCCCATTCCCATCATCAACCACCAGGTCCTCACCTTACACCCCACCTCCCTAGTGAATGCCAATGAAGGCCAATTGACCCATTCACTGAAGAGAGGGGGCAGCCATGTTGCAAATCATGCAACAGACAAGCCAAGCTAACCAAACTGTTCAACTTGCCTTGGTGCGGAAGAGAAGCCTCATCATCTCCACAGCTTCCAGGGAGCTTGTTCTCTCCACAGACCATCAACTACCTTC